TAAGCCTCACTAGGTATCCAAGTAAGTATGCCCACCCACGCTTAGACTGAGAGCATCGACCATTCGATCTCTTAAAGGAGCTACAGCCGGCTTTTGAACACTTCACCAAACTACCCCACTTGTATGTCTGTATTCACTATAGCTTTGGACTCCTCAATAGATATATGATCACCCAACATGTGGGCATAGCCTTCTTAGGTCACACTGGCCTTTTTTGGCCAAACTAGCTTTACTAGGGTCCAACCCCCACACCCTCCCTACTATACTTTTGGAACCCCCTGCAGCCCCCCTGCCCTGGGGGACGATCACTTTGGGCTTTCACCCAACAACCTGTATTAGTATTCGAACTTGGACTTGAACTCGAACTCGAACTCAGACTTGGTCTCGGTCTCAGACTCAGACTTGGTCTTGGTCTTGGTCTTGGTCTCCGTCTCGGTCTTGGTCTCAGTCTCAGTTCCATCTCGGACTCCATCTTGGGTCCATCTCAGACTCCATTTTGGGTCCATCTCAAGTCCATCTTAGACTCCATCTCGAACTCCATCTTGGGTCCATCTTAGACTCCATTTCAGACTTCATTTTGGGTCCATTTTGGACTCTATCTCGGATCCATCTCAGACTCTATCTCAAGTCCATCTCAAACTCTTTCACATGTTATATGTTGATCCTCTTGTGTCCCTTTTCTAGAGACTCACTTACTGCTTGCTTCATGCTCGTTCCTTAAGCACTTTGTTGAGAGTTCCACTCCCATACTTGACTGTCTAAGTTGAAGCTTTTAGTCCAAACATAATACTCTCATTTGGCTTCCACTTCAGCCATTACCATGTGGCACCCTTTTAGCTCCACTTTTGGGGCTTTAGGATTTATTTCTCACATCAATGCAAGACAGAGCAAAAGAGAACTAACAAGCTAGGCCAAATATGCTTGGCTAAATAGACACTTAAGAATTCCATCCTTATGCTCATCCGGCCAAGTATAGATGCTAAATCTAGTTTACTAACACTTGGATAAAAGAGGTTATTAAAAGGAACCAACAATACTGACCTCCTGCCGTCATGGCAGTAAGGAGAGAGTGTCTATAAGGACTAACCGACAAATATCTTTCGATACCCAAAGTCACATTTGTGACAGATGACATATGATGTAAGTGGTTCTGCATTTGGAGGAGCTCTCATGTAAGAAGGACAACCTATTGGATATGAAAGTTGAACTTTGAATTTTGCAGAGCAATGCTATTCCATATATGAACAAGAGTTACTTTCTATTGTTCATGCTTTGTAAACGTGGCAACACTATCTTTATGGTGCAGTGTTCATGGTGTTGATTGATTACAAACCTCTTGTGTGTATCTTTTCACACAGAAGGAGTTGAACACTAAGCAAAATTATTGGATGGTCAAACTCCTAAAGTTTGGGGAGTTTCCTATTGAGCATCGTCTGGGTAAATCAAATGTGGTGGCAAATGCTTTATCTTGTGTTTATCATTTGACAACATTACAAACATGGTTTTGTCATCATTTGAGTAAGGTGGTTAACAAGTTTAGGTAGTTGGTTGAGTGTGCTCAGGCTCAAGATGCTGAGGTAGTCTCTTTATAAGCCCAAATAAAAACACTTTCCTCATTGGTGGATGAAATTCTTTACTACAATACTCATATATATTTGCCATGAGTGGATGCATTGATTCCTTAGGTTGTATTCCACTATCATGATCATCTAAATGCAAGTCATTTTGGGGGGAGGAAGACATATGAGTTGATTAAGTGTAATTTTTATTGGAGGAATATAAAGGTTAATATCCTTGAGTATTGTAAATCATGCACTCTTTGTCAGCAAGTAAATGTGCCATGGGAGAAGCTGGGGGGACTTTTGCAACCTTTACCTATTTCTCAGAACCATTGGTGTAGTATCTCTATTTACTTCATTACTTATTTGCTATGAATATAAAGGCAAAAGGAGCAAATATGGGTCATAATGGATCATTTGACGAAGTATGTGTGGTTGTTGGCTTTTCGGAAGACTGTCACTACCTCAGACTTGGCTGCAATTTACTTGGAGAAGGTTTTTCCTAATTTTGGTTTGCCCGAGGACGTTATTAATGATCAAAATTCAAAGTTCACTAGTGGATTTGGAAGAGCTTTGCAAAGGCTATGCAAATGACTTTGAAACTCTCAAGTGAAAATCATTCTCAAATGGATGAGCAAACCAAGCATGTGAATCAGGTGGTGGAAGATATGCTAAGTTGTAGCATTAATCAAAGGCAGAGACAATGGGATTTATATCTTCTGTTAGTGTAAATTTACCTACAATAATAACCAATACAGTGGAATTAAACTAAATCTTTACTTTGCCATATTTGGAAGGCATCCTAGGAACAACGATGGAGTTGGGATTGCATTTGAGTAAAGATGTTCAAGATAAGTTTGATTCCAAGGTGACTGGTTTGGCCATAGAACTTGATGAGATTCTGGTGGAGTGCAAATAGAATTTGCAAATAGCTCAAGATAAAGCAAAGAAGTTTGCAATGAGCATCACCAATTCCAAGAATATAAAGTGGGTGATCTTATTTTTGTGTAAATGATTTTTTCGTCAAGTAAGCAATAGAACACATTGGTGCCTTTATGCAATAAGAAGAGTGACAAATTTTCCCATCAATATGTTGGTCCATATGAAGTGCTATAACACATTGGTAAGATAGCTTATTAGGTGCAACTGCTAGTTAGGGTGAAAATTCATTCAGTATTTTATATCAACTAGTTAAAAGGTGTACTATCTCAAATCAGTATACTATATTATATATACTATCTTGATGTATATGGTTCTCTAAAAAGGATGATCACCGGTACAACTAGTCCTTAGGACAAACTATCTCAAATCACTATACTATACTATGTATACCATCTTGATATATATAGTTCTTAGAAAGGGTGATCACAGTTGGGGGGAAGAATTGTTAGGCATCAACTTTAACCACATACACAAGAGAAGGCATAACATACTTTAGAAAGATTAGATTTTTGTCTTTTCACACTGAATCATAACATTGGTATTAGAAGTTTATCAAACCTTGGTTCTCCTTCTAGATCCACCATGTTAAATATTTCTTTAAAATATTCCTACCCCACTTGTTAGTCATGAGAATCAAATTAGGCTCCAATACTAATATTACTCCCTAAGCCAACTAGGTAAAAAGGTAATCACTTGATTGTATATTATCCTGACTTAATGTCTAACAATCTCTTGTTGGAGTTTGACAAACACACAATTTCTGGCTGGGCTTAGAAGGAGCTTGCTGTTCATAATTGTTCTTCACGTCAAGAGTGTTCACTGAGGCGATACAACACCTGCATCCATTCAGGTGAAACCAAGCCATGCCAGTCACGATCAACAACAGTAAGATGTAAGCCATGTCCATCTTCTCCATCAAGCGGCAACTACTGCCACTTTCCATCACTCCGAGAACTGCAAGTTCTGTTTTGTCAAAAAACTGTGATCCAGTTGCTTTCCTGGCATGACTTGAGGAGACAGAGGCCTCTTCAAAGCACAGAGCTTGTCACATCATGTTGTGTAAGCAAATCAAATTTGAAAAAGGAAAAAATATGACACTTTGCCGACCATATCAACCAGTACATGATCATGCAAGCACTGGAAACAGCTTTGATACCACGTCCAAGGAAATGTTATCTCCAGCGTTTTTCCTCTGTGATGGATCGTTGTATTCATTAGATGGTAGCGTGACAACCTATAGCAGTGATGAGATCAACCAGTGAGTGCCATTTTCTTCTGAGACTTACCTGGCTTCCGCCATGGCCCTTGTGAAGCTTCCAACCGCTGTTGGCTGCATGAAATTCAAGATACTTATCCAACGATAAGCCCTCCAAATTCAGAGCCTGCAAGGATAGAACGTCCGTCACAATACTTCGTATCATAGTTTTCTTTCTACCTCTGCAAGGACGGCCCTGGGGACCTTTTGGTACGTCAGGGACAAGACGTGCACCCCGTACGACTGGATTGCGCTCTCAAATCCTGAAACAAACTCTTTAGAATTTTAAAACTAAACAGAATCTTCTCGTACCTGGAATGACTTCTAAAATGTCACGATTACGAGCAGCCTCGTCCCAAAACTCGCGGAACCTAGCAGTCTGAGAGGAAAATGAACATAAGCGAAGGAAAGCGCGGCTAGCAGCGGAGTACCTCCAAGTAGTGAGACAGAGTTGCCAGAGTAAAGAACGGGTGCAGCATATGCTGATAAACCAAGTGAGAAAACAGAAACCCGGAAGCACAAGGACTTACAAGTCGTTCTGGCACAAGGCACATACAGAGGCCAAAATCCGGAGCTGGCATTGCCATCAAAGCCTGCAATTCATATATGAGTGCAGCACTAGAAGCACAACAAGCCTACCTTCACAAGGATTTTAGTCACAATGTTGACATTAAGATTTCGTGGCTCAAACTGGTCGTGAGAAAAACCAGTTGGCGCAGGAAAGGAACGACTAAACGAAAGGCAAGAAGAGCTTGCATACCTGGTAAAGCCGTAGAAGGCACAGATTGGAATCAAAACTGTAAGTCTCAGTAGCAACCTATAGAATAAACACGCTAAGAGAAAGCAAGAAAAAGAAACAAAACGAAGAACTAGTTTTCCGGACCTGTTCTTGCACATAGGCTTCCAGATCGGGAAGAATGTCTGGATTGTAAGGATTGAGCGCGACTAGCTGCTCCATCGTTAGCTGCGGCTGCTCCTGCTCTCTCTCCCATTCCGACACCATATTTCCGACCTAAAGCACGACATGTCGCGATTCCAGGCCGCATTGCATCGATGGACAACATACCTCACCGCCGGCGCCGAGCGCTCGCACAGCCTTGAGCTTCGAGGATTAGGGCACAGCGAGGGTTTTGGCAGACGAATATGCCTGTAGGAATATTCTCTCATGTGCGGGTATATATTACGGAGATCCTGGTGGCTTGCCCTAACCCTAGATTTCCCTGAGAGAGATAGAGCAAGCAGGAATGGCGCGTCCTTGGGGCAAGGTCGGCGCCTGGGCGGACGATTCGGAAGCGGAAGCGGCAGCGGCAGCGGCGCCCACAGCGCCACCGCCAGCAGCGCCGTTGCCAGTGGAAGCGTTTCCATCGCTGGGGGAGGCCGCCGCCGCGAAATCCAGCAAGAAGAAGAAAGGTCAGACGCTTACTTTCGCGGAGTTCCAATCAGGGAAGTATGTTCCCGGTGTTAAGCAGCGGAGCTCGGCATCGTCGGGGATCTTCACCGACAGCGATCGCCTCACGTCGGACGAGATGATGATGCTGCCGACGGGGCCCAAGGATCGATCGGACGAGGAGCCCTATGAGCAGGGCGGGCGATTGGGTGGCGGCTTCCGGGACTATGGCGGTTTCCGGGGCGACAGGGATCGCGGGGACAGGGATAGAGGTGATAGAGGCGATAGGGAGCGCGATCAGCGTGGCTTTGGATTCGATAGAGAGCGCGAGGCCTCTCGCGCCGACGATAGCAGCGACTGGAGCTCCAACAAGCCTTCCAGGAGGAGCTGGAGGAGGAGGTGGTGGGCGATTTGACGACGAGAATCGGCGGTACAGTGGCGATCGCTTTGGTGGCGATAGAGATCTTCCCTCCAAGGCGGATGAGGTTGATAATTGGGCTTCTGGGAAGAAATCGCTGCCTCCTCCCGAGAGGAGATCCGATGACTTTGGTAGGAGGTCCGATGACTTTGGTAAAGGTGGTTTTGGGAAAGCTGACGCTGATGACAACTGGGGAGCTAACAAGAAGCCCGTGGTCTCGGACAAGTGGTCGTTTCGCAGGTCTGATGACTACGGCGACCCCGACTCTGGCGACAAATGGAGCAGGAGGAGCAACGATGACTCTCCCGGCGATGATAAGTGGGGCGCTAGGAAAGCTGGCGATGAGGCCCCTCGCAGGCCACGGTTGAATCTACGGCCCCGGACCCTCCCGCTGGAGAATTCGCCGCCTCCAGTGTCTGCTGATCAACAACATGGCAGTCGGCCATCCAGCAGTCACTCTAGTCGACCGGGGAGTCCTCCAGAAGTGGAAGCACCTCCAGTTGAGCCAAAGCCACGCCAGAAAGTGGATCCTTTTGGGAACGCAAAGCCGAGGGAGGTGTTGCTGGAGCAACGAGGACAGGACTGGCGGAAGATGGATATGGATCTCGAGAGCAAAAGGTAAGTAGTCTTGTAAAGTTTCGTGTTCGTTCTTCCCCTGATGTGGTGTTATAGGCCCGACACTGACGAGGAGAAGAAGCTCAAGGAAGAGATCGTGTCCCTGAAAGAGCTAGCGGATAGCACCGCCGACCCTGCCGTGAAGGAGCAACTAGCCGAGAAGGAACAGGAGCTCGAGCAGCTGGTCAAAGAGCTTCATTCGAAGGCACGGGTATCGTCGGATCGTTGGAGGAAGGACGAGTCGAGAATCACTAGCCCTCCCGCTACAAGGCGCGATCCATGGAAGCGGGAGAATGGAAGGGATCGGCCAACGGTTGATCGATGGTGATGATTCCAACAGCTTTTCGATTTTGTGTTACGACCGTCGCCCACCATGATCTCGTGCTCTACAATAATCCGGGTGGCGACGGAGGTGAGAGATCTACTCTATTAATTTTTATTAATAATCCACAGTGTTCTTCGTTTATTACATTGAAAGTATCTTCGACCGCTCATCCTTGACGTGTCCTGTTGTGCTATAGTATTTTATTATTTGGGAGATTCAAGGAGATTCAAGTAAAAGGGATGAAATGAGGAGCTCTTTTGATCCTAGCGTGGATTTGGATCGTCCAAGCTTCGACTTGGATCGTCCCAGCTTTGAATTGGGTCGCCAGAGCTTTTCTACGGCGAGGAACTGGGAGATTTTCGACACTCCGAGTCCTCCGCGAAGATCTTGCGTGTGTTCTTCGTCCTCGGCTTCGCTGTCCGGCGCTCGATCGGCTCCTCGGCTCTCCATCACTACTCCTCTTTCGGAGCGGCAAGGAGGCAAGTTCTTTAGCTTCTCGGCGTGCTCCACGCCGGCTAGCAACTATGTGTTTCGGTGCTTGGGCTCCGGAGAAGTGGGAGCTCCGCGGAGGATTTTGATCGTGGTGGACGCGAGCAAAGATGTGACCACTGAGTCACTCGAGTGGACGCTCACACACATTGCTCAGCCGGGGGACTTCGTCACCATCCTGGGACTCTTGCCATGGCTTACACTTCCAAGTAAGTGAATCTAAGTTCATCAAGCTTGAAAGAAAAGCTTCTGTGCAGTGGCCGTGAAGCGATGGGCCAAGCTCAAAAAGATCGATGAGAGTCCCAGTCGCTTTGAGTCTCCGGAGTTTGTGAGGATACAAGAACTTTATGCAACCAAAGGGGTGAGTTTATATCATCTCTGTTCGCCAAATAATTTGCTTGTGTCCTAGGTGTTCTTGGGGATCCAAATTCTTTCGGGCTTTCCTAGAAGAGATATCGCTGTGGACATGGCAAGGCGAATCGATGCAAGATGGATAATCTTCTACAAGTTCAGAACTTGGGCTCTCTCATTCATATTTGATTAACTGTTTTGTTTTCCTTAGGTGGATGTGTGGTAGCTCCAATTATATTATAAAGAGACTGGGCAAGAAGAGGAACATTGTGTACCTGACCAGCAAAAGCGAGGGAATTGTGCTCTTTGCCTCTAAGCCCGCGATAATCAGTATCCACGAAGCACCCGGATTCAGTAATAGCCCTTCAAATCAAAATCCTGTGAAGGTTGAGCTCAACTTTGGAGCAAGGCGAATGAAGCTATCCCAATGGATGAACGCAATCAAATTATAATTATCAGCTTATGATTCATAAATCAAACATTGTAATGATCATTCTTTTTAGAGACGACAAATCTAGCTGGTGGAGTTTCTCTGTAAGCAATAACTAGGACGCTGTTGGGACCAGCAAGTACAGAGACAGAATCGTTTCAATTTCTTTTGGTTGAGTGGGCAATATCAATTGTGGTCCAGCCAGCATATCCGATCCTCATTTCCACGCTATAAAACCCTACGTTCCAAACTCCTCCATCGCCGCAGCACAATGGAATCATCCCATTCACTCAATAGCTACAGCCTCCTTATCTCTTCCTTGCTCTTGGCACTCTTCTTTTCATGCATTGCAACTCAATGTTCAGATGATCCAAAGGTGTACATTGTGTACATGGGTGCTGCTGATGAGCATCACAGCCACTTGCTGTCTAGCCACCACGCACAAATGCTCGCATCTGTCTCCAACAGGTGAAATCAGTCACAATGCATCCAAATGCCCAGCATATAAAATATCTATAGATTCTATAGCTGTTTGTGTTCTTTTGTGTTCTAATTATTATTTGCTTTTTTGTATTGTGCTGTGGCAGGAGTGTGGAATCAGCTATGGAAACTATTGTCCACAGCTACACCCGAGCCATCAATGGCTTTGCCGCAAAGATGCTCCCCAGCCAAGCATCTATGCTACAACGTAAATTCCACCACTTTCTCTGCTGTTTCATAACACATACATACACTGAAATTTCACATTTCATATGGTTTTCTCCATGAACTATATAGAGATGCCGGGCGTGGTTTCCGTGTTTGAGGACTACACAGTGTCCCTCCAGACAACCCGTTCTATAAACTTCATAGGGCTGGAGGACGCATCCGGAAACACTGCAGCAAACTCGCTATGGAAGAAAACAATGGGCGAAAACATGATAATTGGCGTACTGGACTCGGGTATATGCCAATCCCCGATTCGAATCTTTCTTTAAATCTCCCGCATTTTCTTCTAGGTGTCTGGCCAGAGTCGGCGAGCTTCAGCGACGCCGGGCTGCCGGCTTCCCTTCCTGCGAAGTGGCACGGAAGCTGTGCGTCGAGCGCCTCCTTCACATGCAACAGGTAACGCGGATTAGATCTCTCGATCGATCGTTTCATCGAGTCGACGTAGGGATTGCTTCTTTTGTATTGCTGCTGGAGATTTCGCTGATGGCGCTTGCAGGAAAGTAATTGGCGCGCGGTACTATGGCTTTTCCGGCGGCAGCCCCCTGAATCCTCGCGATGTAACTGGGCATGGATCTCATGTCTCCTCCATAGCAGCGGGAGCTCGTGTGGCCGGCGTTGACGACTTAGGGCTCGCCAGAGGCACCGCAAAGGGCGTCGCGCCCCAGGCTCGAATTGCCGTGTACAAGATCTGCTGGGCGGAGAAGTGCGCGGGAGCCGATGTTCTCAAGGGCTGGGACGATGCGATTGGCGATGGCGTGGACGTGATCAATTACTCGGTGGGAAACTCAAACAGTCCCTACTGGTCTGACGTTGCCTCCATCGGTGGCTTCCATGCCGTGCGGAAAGGGGTCGTGGTGGTCGCAGCTGCTGCAAATGGTGGCATCGGCTGTGTTGTACAGAACACTGCGCCGTGGGTGACGACGGTCGCTGCGAGCACGATCGATCGACGCTTCCCGAGTAACGTCGTCCTGGGAGATGGTTCAGTATACCAAGTAAGTTCTCTCCGCGAATTTTTCTTTCCTTTGCTCACTTCTTGTTCAGGGATCAAGCATCAACAACATTAGTCTCGGCAATAGTTTTTATCCTCTGGTGAATGGACGGGACATTCCTGCGAAGCCCACAACTTCACCCGAAAGGCAAGCTTGTATTGTTACTCTTTCTTGCTTGACTGGTTTTTCTCTTTCTCTCATTGTGTAGTGCTATGGGCTGCTCGCCTGGAGCTCTTGATCCTGCCAAAGCCCAGGGAAAGATAGTTCTTTGCGGCCCTCCATCCGTGGATTTCAAAGATATCGCTGATGGATTGAAGGCTATTGGTGCAGTTGGGTTTATTATGGGAAACGATGCAGATGGCAAGGAGAGATTGCTGTCACTCAGATTCACGATGCCTGCTACTGAAGTTGGAAACACAGCTGCAAATTCTATTTCTTCCTACATCAAGTCAAGCAGGTAAATAAGTTTTGCTTTGAAAATTCGATTACTCGATCACGAGGTGTCTTGTAGGAATCCAACCGCAAAGATTATACCGCCAACAACAGTGATTAATCAGAAGCCATCGCCCATGATGGGAATCTTCTCTTGTAAAGGTCCCAACCCTGTTGTCTCAGACATTCTCAAGGTCTGTGCCATGCAGATTGTATATGTTCAGTGATTAACGGTGTTTGTGCGAGTGGAAAAACAGCCAGACGTAACAGCTCCAGGCGTGGACATCCTTGCCGCATGGTCAGAAGCAGCTGATAAGCCACCTCTCAAGTATAAGTTCGCCAGTGGAACATCAATGGCCAGTCCCCATGTTGCAGGCTTAAGCACACTTCTCAAATCCTTGCATTCTGATTGGAGTCCAGCAGCGATCAAGTCTGCGATCATGACCACAGGTATCTTAAAAGCTGCCGAGATTTTTTAGCATTGTAAACTTACAGTTCTAATCCATCACCACAGCTTACACGCAAGACAACACCGGGAAGACAATTCTCGACGGTGACTATGACGTCGCTGGTCCCTTCAACTATGGATCAGGACACATCAATCCGGTTGCAGCAGCGGATCCGGGGCTTGTTTACGATGCAGGAAAGCAGGACTACGTCGCTTTCTTGTGCAACATTGGCTTCTCGGCAGGACAGATCCAAGCTATGACTGGAGAACCTGGTAACTGTCCTGCCACCAGAGGCCGAGGCAGCGACTTAAACTACCCGTCAGTGACGCTCACCAATCTGGCCAGAGGGGCAGCAGTGACGAGAACTCTCACCAGTGTCAGCGATTCGCCAAGCACGTATAGCATTGGTATAACTCCACCGAGCGGGATCAGTGTTACTGTCAATCCAACGAGCTTGACGTTCAGCAAGAAGGGGGAACAAAAGACGTTCACGCTCAACTTCGTTGTGAACTATGATTTCCTGCCTCGACAGTACGTGTATGGTGAGTATGTGTGGTATGACAACACGCACACTGTTCGCAGCCCGATTGTGGTCAATGCGGTGAGTCGCCTTGCAATCGGGGAAGAGAAATTGGTTTCTGAGATTTGACGGAAGGTATCATGGTACTACTATATTTTCATGCTACAGGGAACAAAGGAAGTAATAAACATGATATGTATCAAACACTAAGCATAATGTTCCTTCAAACGGAAAAAGACTTTGAAGAACGGCAGAGAGGCTTTAAAAATTCTTTAAAGTCACAAAAAAATCGGAGCTGAGTTTTGAGATGTCAAAACCATTCTGCCAAAACTTACCAGGCCTCAATCGAAAGAGTGGAAGTTTTTCTCTCTGGCAGCGATTTTGACATGTCACTCAAAGCGGGATGTAATTCAGGAAGATGCATGAGCTTTACATTTTCAAATTCCACTTCCCCATTCTCTGGCCTCTTGGAAACATGTGGTTCTTGTTTGTTTGTCACCAACTTCTACATAGATCATTATGTACCGTTGTAAAAACTATACATGTGGCATGTCATCCAGGTTAGGGTTTGTGCGATGGCGCTTTGGCGCGATCGATGGCGCGCTGTGGTGCTGGTGATGGCTGGAATGCGCATTCCTGATTGCATCGCGCTCGTCCTCTCGTTGGTATTGGATCTTTCTGCTGCTGTTGCTAATCGATTTTGGTACTAGGGAGCTCTCGGATCGGATTATCTGGATGTGATGTCGATTGCTAGGTAAGTTCCTCATGCCCTCAATCTCTCTAGGATTGCATGGAGTCAGTCTTGTGTGTGATGATTGTCGATCAATGCGTGCTTTTCCTTGCCTGTATTCTTCTTTTTCTTCGCATTCTTTGCCTCGCTTTGAGTTGAGGCTCGAGAAAGAAAGAGAGAGTTTTAAGAGAGTTCTTCTTGCCTTGATATATGATAGTGATTATCCAAATTCTCCAGTTGCTGAAGAGGTTAAAGTTTCGCTCACTCAATTAGTGATTTACATTCTAGTTGCAATGGTGCGAGGCAAGATGAGCAAACCTGGCAGCAATGGTGGCATCCACACCCATGCATGCCGATAATCCACTTTTCTCCTTGACGATTTGCTACTTGATCAAGGCTTTGGAAGCTAGCTAAGCTTTGGTTTCTTTCTCAGTGTACGCAATGTGTATTTGGACGAGCATGGCATTTAGCTACCTTGGAAGGAGTTTTGACAACGCCCTGAGATTGCTATCCACTCTTGCTCTTAGCATGACTCGCTGGAAGTTCCTGGCTCTCACTGTAAGTTTTCTCTTGAGTTTTCCAGGCTCTTTTTGTTTTTTAGTGCTAGTGGAGATGCTGTACATGCGCAAGCAGCTCAACGCCATCTCCTGTGACATTGTTCGCCATTGGTATCAGATAGCTCACTTTACTCCCTTTTTTCTGCAGTTCTTGGTTGATGATCCATGGCAGCTTGTTTCTTTGGTGCAGAATTTATTGTCTCTCAAGGAAGGCTGAGATGCTGAAGTAAAGAAGGCATACCCGAGCAAAGGAGTCATTCCAGCCCGACTTTGATCCGGTAATGTTGCAGAACTATGACAAGCGTCTGTGATAGATGGTTTCCTGCGTCCTCATGTTCTAGCAGCACAGTCGAATGCCTTTGCTGTCGGAGATGATGGAAGAAGAAGAGCCCGAGAAGGCCGAGCTTGAGAACAAACTCGTGAAGACTAGGAAAGTAAGTTCCTCTTGTGGAACTAGAGTTTGTTCTCTTTTCTCTCGTGGAACTATACTAAATCTCTCTCTTTGTCACAGCCACATCTACATGAATTGCAACACCAGCATGCATTGAGGAGAGATGTGGCCTCAACACCAAAGCCAAGGAAGCTCGGATAAACACCAAGTCTAACAGCGCTCAAGCCGGATTGACAGAAAGCAGTGGAGCTGCCAGGTACCATCACCCTCAGTAGTGAAGCACTTCTCATGGCTCTAGCTTGCGGCTTCATCAACATGTAGTTCTTGAGAGGTACCTCTTTTCACTCTTCCTCGAAAATCCTTTCATAGTTGTGCTGATCCGTCACTTCCTTTTCTACAGGAACGCCTCTCTCAGTCTTTCCCAGAACAGATCAACCGAGCAGGCACTTGCCCAGCACCGCCAGCACCGCACCCCACCCAGCTGCCAGCCGCCAGCGCAGCACCGCAGCTCCGCAGCTCCATGCCGCCCCCGGATTAACAAGTCGAATTATAAGTTTAATTATAAGTCTAATTGTATTTGACTTAGCACAACTTCAATTATAACTCTCATTTTGAGCCAAAAAAGCTCCGTGTGATTATCCTAAGATTACTATGACATAGCCTTAGCTAGGGGCATGAAACCATACACACACCATCTTAATCAGCACCCCTAATTACCTCTCACTCATACTAGATTTATTATAAAATCTTCTAGCATGCTTGTTTTCAGTATAAGCTGTATATCTCATTGCAGCACCGATGTCTAAGTGCCCATCTTGGAACTGCCACCCAGCTACAAACTTCCTTTGCAAGCAAGGCAACACTGTACCACAGAAACTACCTTAATCTCCACCACCATTAGTCTTGCACAAGATGGGCTCTTGCTACCTTTGCCTCTAATCATGATAGTGTGTGTGGATGCTACCAAATTTTGATCTTGATCAAGCAAGGGAGAGAGGTTAACAATTGTTCCCTACCAACTAGGCACCCATGACCCCCCAAAAACATGTATAATATAGAACTTCAGATAACTTAGTTGCTTTAACTGATAGCACATTCTTTTGTGCCACAGGGACCAAGAGTGATAAGAAAATCAATTTATGTTGTGGTCTCATGCCTCTAGTTCGCCATTGCAAGACCCCCAAAAAGATGTATTATTATTTCTTTAAGTGTTTAATATTGTGCTATGTTAGAATATGGTTTTCTCCTTTAAATCTCAAAAACCAGGTTTCTTCCCTATATACAATAGCCCAAACATATGAAGCATCGATTGAACAGGAAATGTTCAAAAGGATGTTGGATGAAGAGGGAAACTTACACAGCGACTCACCACATTGTGAATGTTACTAATGCAATAATATCGAGCTATACCAATCCTGAACATGCTTAGTGAATCACTAACACTAGCGAGAGTTTTCATCACTATTCCAGATTGGTGAGTGTCACTGATAGATAGTTTAGGTTGGTTCCTTAGTCTCTAATGGCAGGACATGTCTCGGGTTTCTAATGCCCTACCAAGCCAATGTTGCATAAGAAAGTGTTATATTCCTTCTCTTCTGTGGCATAAACAAGCCCAGGTTGATGTGTTTACCTAGTGATTCAATATACTTCAGTAGAGGTTTAAATTGGGAGTTTCCCATCTACTTGCTTCAAGCACTTAAGAAATCTCTATAGATCCAAGCATAATATAACTATTATATGGAATATCCTCACTCTAAGAATATTCCGGAATCTTACTCTCCCAGGGGCAACAACCTGGCAAAAAAAAAACCATGACCTACAACTGTATAAACTTGTGGCCAAAAAGTGAAAGCAAATGCCCAATAGAAGTAATTGGAGAAGGAAGAATAAAAGTAAAAAGGATAAAGGTGTGAAGTTTGAAGACAGAGGAGAAAATTTAATAATCAAATTAAACCCAAGATTCAAGAAGAAAAACAAGAGAAAAGTGAGAAAAAGAGAAGAACAACTAAGTAAACACAAAAGAAAGAAAAGAAACAAAAGAAAAAGAAAAACCAAGGTCTAGTGAAGAGATTTAGACCTAAATTACACCCCCCAAAGTTCTCAAACCTTTAAAAGTACCAAAATCTCCTTAAAGCTTTGCCATGAAATGGAATTGCATTGCTCAATAGTGGTAAGTGCAAAAAGTGGGAGGATATAAAAAATAGATGGAAAGGAAAGTGCCTCAAGGTGCTTGATCAAAAAGAATGTTAGCCACAAGGTGAGATAAAGAGCTCTCCAAAAAATGCCAACTGGATTGTATCAAAAGCTAGAAGTCTACAACAATATGCAGTGCAAGTTGGCTCTTCATCTATAGAACTGCTGTTAATTGGGAAAGCATGCCTAAAACAGATCTAGATGCCTTTTGCACTAGGCCCAACCAATCATTAAAAGACTTTGCTTCACTACTATAAGTATCAAAATATGGATAGAATTGTTGCTAGAACGTGGAGAAGAAAGAGATTCTCCTACTGAAACTTGGCTGAACGGTGGAGGCTGTCTCTGTAAAGACTCTGTGCCTATAAACCATTTTGTCAAGCTAAACTGTGGTACCAAATGAAAAGATGGACAAGGCAACTACTGGATAGATGGGCAATGGTGTAAGATGTAAAGCCCAAGGGGAATCAGAACTTCGGAAACTTGAGCTTCTGGACAAATAAAATCAATACCACCTCAAGAGCTACAACCCAAGCAAGAGGCTACTTCTAA